AATGTTAACTAAACAAAACTAGAAAACGTCATTTTTACTGGATCACAAGCAAATAAAAATTAATACGTAGGCAAGTCATAATTCAGGATTTCTCTGGGGGGTGCCCAGAAGTACCAGGGGGGGGGGCGGCACCCCCCGGCTCAACGGCAAAAGCCAATTTTGTGGGAAAAATGGGGAAACACCTCTCATCATTGAATGTGCCGAGACGACAGCCATTCCTGCAATAAACTTTGGTGGACATCGGAGATGGAAAACTAACCTGTAACAGTCTCAAATACTGACTTTTGTCAAAATCCTGAGACTGTATGATGAGTTATAACTCAAGAAAGGGGGACACAATAGATCTATAAGGTCGCGGTGATTTACAGTTTACATCTACCATCATTAAATTAATGAGATGCGTATACATAAGATCTACACAAAATTTAAATTCTTTTATATTCCCTACAGTTAATTTTTCTATTGTATGAGATCTTAGTCTCATACCAGGCTTTTTGTTTGAAGTTCTCACATATTTTTTTACAACGAATTCAAGCAAATATTTTTAATATACATTGGTTTTATATTAGATTTTCTTTTTGTTCCTTACTGAAAAAAAATCAAGTTACGCCCTTGTTTGCTGGGCAAGTTCAATTCCGAGGCATCCGTGACTCGTTCGGTTACTTTTGCTTGCTACATTGTAAGTTTACCAGAACGTGTATTTTATTTTCTTGAGACATGTTATTAATGATGCGTAAAATTGCAATAAATAATGCAATTAAAGCGAAACCGAACAGCAAAAATCAGTTTTCTTTACCAAAAAACTGAAAACCGTAAATTCTTCTTCTCGGAACTATGATGCTGGAGAAATCGGCACCTTCAAGAACTAATAAGTATAAAATGGTTAGAAATTTTTCAATTTTCATCGTCAAGCCCCGTCTACACATCACGTTTTAACTGTCAGTTATAACGTAAAGTTGTCTAGAGAACTGACGACAGATCATCTTCAGCAGTTTTATCTCTCTGTCAGGTAAAACTGATTAAAGACTAGCGTATGCACTGGAAGATTTACCTGCGATTTTTATCTATGTTGGCAATTTTGAATGAAGGACAAATCTTGAGGACAAACATGGCACTCTCCGTCATAATGACATACGTCTTATGAAAGTCCGTCATAATGACGGACGAATGAGTCTTAACAATACACCCGAGAAGAAAAGGCTCGATCGCTTACGCGTTTAACGTGGGTGACAACTGACAACGTCAGAAGGCGATGGGCGGAATTATTCTATTATAAATATCGTTAATTGCTATGGAATCACATTTTTTTACGGAAGCGCATATTTTGAGTATTGGCATGGCAATCTACGGTAGGGGGTAAGTTTCCAGTGAATGAGACCACTATAGAACTAACATAAAACAAAAGAAACAATCAAGCGATCGCGTCATCCAAATTGACAATGGCGGCTCGTGAGTTCTGAACAAAAAAAACATAGTTTATCCTTCTAGTTTTCATGCTAGAAATACCAAACCAAGCCAAACACTATCATCATGCACTCAATTATCTAGTTATTTCTTTCGCTTTAGCTTGGCGGTTTGGCAGGCAAGCGCACCTGTGCCCTTAGATTAGATTCTTCGAAGTGGCTATCCACTGCGACCTTTGCAGATCTATTGTGGTCTTCTTCTGATCCTTAGGTTACATTCTCTAGTCTTATCGTTTTCAAAAAGTCTAGCAACTTGGTGACTGAACCTTCCATATAGATCTCTGCCAATAGCCTATCACTGCCCAGTACACCGACGTAAAATATGTTCTGTCGTTTCTTCTTCAGATTGACAGAACTTACACATGCCTTACAACGCCCTGATAGTAGACCCACTACACTTTTGACTATGTTTCTGTCTTTGCTTATCGTGCGTGAATTTTGGCGAATGTTCTACTATGAACTTTTTCGCCTGTTTCTGCCCTTGTGAATTTCTCTACCATTCTAGAGATTTGTTTCGTGACTTCTTTCGCAACGCCAAAGAAGGGTTCTGGGCCTATAAATGGCGTTGATGAGCCATGATTGGCTATTTCATCTTTCGTTACCCTTGTGACCCTCGGCTAACGTAAAATTGCTACACTCACCCATTGTATTTGCAGCACACACTCAACCCCACACTAGTCTAGAATTGACGTCCGTGAAAAAAGAAGGCCCTCAAACGTAGTGATGTTGGTAGCGAATATTTCCATTCGAATTTTGCAGGAAATTTCAGAAATTTCCGAAATATTCGGTCCCAAAATCGCGAATATTCGCAAAAATCCGAATTTTGCAAGAAATTTCTTTTCAAAATTCAAGACATTGAGCAAAAATTTAACGAAAGTGTATCAAGTATGCCTATTGTTAAATCGTATGACTCTTAAAATAATGCATTTTGCCGCGAATCTCTTGGCCCCCTCTGTTTCCTGGGAGAGCACCTTAACAATGAAGAACACATAGCCGCTATGGAATTTATCAACAATATCACCAAGAAACATCCTCAGTTTGTCAATAATAAAGAAGCCATTTTACAGATGTAACAAATTATTGCGCCAAATCGGGTTTATGGGCTCTCGACTACGTTTGGATGTCAGTTAAAAATGTAGACTGTCTAAGTTGGTGGCAAGCAATATGTAATAATACTCAATTGAAATATTTAGCTGTTGCTCTGCTGTCTTTACCAACGTCATCTGCAGCCACTGAGAGAACTTTCAGTACTTACAGTTTTATCCATACTAAAAAAGGAATCACTTAACTGCACAAAGAGCCGGCAAAATAATGTTCGTAGCTCATAACAATAAATTATTACTACAAAAACAAAAAGTGGATATGGAACATGATATGCAACAACATAAAACTCCTCCAGAACTACTAGAACCCGTAGAGGTAGAGGTCCATCCTTCAGAATCAGAACCAGATGATACATCAAATATACCTGATTTGGAAATAAAAACCGACGAAGACAGTACTACTAATACTACACTACTACTACTATAATACCCTATGAAGATGGGACCAGCTCGGCGCCTGAAAAGTATTCCGGAATAGAATAATTCAGTTATTTGTGTTTTACGTTTTTTAAATTTATATTTCGTGCTTTTTTGTTTTTTTTTAAGTTCACAGTCATAGTTCATGGTTATGCACAAAGTACAAATGTTACCAAATAATTTTTGTTATATGTTATGTTTATGAGTTTTAGGAGTTATCTATTGTTTATTAAATATATAACAACTAATATTATGTTTATTGTTTTTTTTCACTTACATGTTGGTATCAAATGTCTATCTAATTTATTCATTGTATCAACAAAAAATATGTAAAATTGTAAAATTTCCTAAAATTTCATAAATTTCCGAAAGTTTCGAAAATTTCCTGCAACAATCAAAAGTTTCCGAAATATTAACATCACTACTCAAACGATATTGTGTTCTTTAACCCTTGTACCCTTTATGACCAGCCACCACTGCAAATTGGCAACACCGGCCATCTATATCCGGTCATTATCACTCCTGCACAACCCCCCGTTTTTCTCCAGACTCGCGGAAAGTCCGAGACAACCAAGTCCCATACGATCCTGCGAGGAGAGCGCCCATCAGTCGAGACCTGCTGCAATTCTCCGATCCATACTGCGGCAGCAGGAGCAGCCAGCGGCAGCGCGTTGGAAAAGGACACCGAACGACCAACGAAACGTCGGTTCACGTCGCGGTCATTATGTTAGGTTAAGGACCCAGACAGTCCGCGTTACACAGCACCGCCGGCGTGCTCGCCAGCATTCGTTCGAGTTCGGTGGGCGGCGCGTTCCTATTGGTCCTTTGCGCCGCGGATATCTGGCGCGGCTCCGCTTCGCGACTTCGATCATTTCTTTCGGAGTTCGCGGCGCGCCAGCAGGAATTAGTTTCGCCGCTACCCTCGTCACGGAAAGTCGTGATATATCCGGCAACGTCCCTTCTCTGTCAAATACGCACCACCGACTATTGTAATTGAGGGAGAATAATTCGGGATAGGAGCGGGAATCGTCGCAGTGCTTAGTGTGTCCTCCGAAAAGGAAGAGTGAATGGTGCCCCCTTCGGTAGTGCTAATTTCTTTCGTCGCCGGCGAATGACGGAACAGCCTTGTCCTAAAAAGCAAGGCGGTCATGACTACGCCGCCTGCTTTTTTTCGCCGGTTTTTGTCGGTCGATTCTGCTTGGTAACAGGCGATTTTTGCGGCGCGAGCTACGTGTGGGATAAGGTGTCCCGTGCTGTGCTCAGATCAATTTTTATCACAATCGGGTCACACATACATGCCGGTCGTTGGCTGAAAGTTCCAGACGCTGACGTCACGCCGTGCCGTAACCTTGGATCGCTCCCCTTTTTTGCCACGTTTTGCTCGATAGATCTTTTTCCTTGGAGGAACGGTTTTTCAGAAACTTTTTTCAGCCGGAGATTATTCAGGGTCGACTTGTTTGACTTTACTGCCGTCTAGACTGTTGCTCAAGGCGATTTAGCGTAACCATGAGATAATTGATTAATTTTTTTAATATTCTCTTCACATTTTTCAACAAATGATCGAAAAAAAGGAGATTATTGTCTTGAATGTTCTTTTGGTATCTTTCACCATATTCAACATATATGGCCAAAAAATAATCTAACTAAATTAGAAATACCTATACATCTATTCTACTCAAAAAACTCATTATTCAGAATATGGAAATCTTAATCTTCTAAAATACTTAATTATCCTAAAATAAAAAAATACCTACATCACATTACCTATTAAATGACATACTAGTATTGTCTGCATCATTGAGACTAACGGATTTTCATGGATCTTAATCTGAATCAGTGATATTTCGATATATTCGTGTATCTACAGATCTAATTTATTATAGCACAATGTCCTAATAATATCATATGTCTGAAGCCGACCCTGTCAATTTAAAAACTCTAATTAGTATTAGAATCTTAAGTTTCCAACTTTTTAACTGACACTCATGTCAATATATTCCGAATATAAATTACTTACCTAAGAATTCTAGCTTTCTGATAATATTTCTTGTTCTATATCAAATGATGTTCTGTTACTCCTGATGATCGTAGTATAAAATCTATTAAAGCCGGTCCTGTTCAGATAATTCCACCAATTGACGAGTCGAGGCCGCGAAATAGATACCGCACCGGATTTATCGGGATTTAAATTAAATTAGGTTAACTTTTTGCCGCACACTCCTGTCCTAACTGGAACAAATGAAAAATCTCTTTGAACGAACGAAAATATGGGATAGGAAAAGTTTCAGTTTGTTGTGCAACGCTGTGCAACACCGTCGTCGGAACTTGCTTGTAACTACATAACCTAAAAATCAAACGGTAAATTTCGCTAGTATTTCTGCGCGTTTGACTGACTGATTGAGGCCGGTGAGAAAAAAATTAAAACTCTTTAGAAACCGTCGAGGCTACATTGAAAAATGGGTGATTGTAAGTGGAGCAATGATGATTTGCACATTTTCTGCATTTGCTGGAACCATTTGATCGAGTAGATAGTTTATTCTAGGTAAGTACTAAGTTAATTTTTTTATTGAAACTAAGCATGAAAATCGGATTTCTCGATGATAAAACAGATTTAGGGTATTTTGTTTCAATCAATTGAAGGGGTTTAGAGTTTAGATCAGTGGTTTAGTATTTTTATATTAGAAAAACAAGGAATTAAAAAGAACTTAAAATGTTGTGGTGGTTTATGCTTAAATATTTCTCTAGGCGTTTTCGACAGTTTGATCAAAATATCTTTGTTAAATTTATTTGCAAAAAAACAGTGTAGCGATTCTCTGTTTTATCAATTATAGTTGGGTTTAGTGAGGTTCGAAAGAAAAAACATGAAGTTTACTACAAAATTACAGCTGAAAAAGTGTGCCAAAAGATTTTTGGGGTCACTAAATAATAAAACTAAACTATATTTAGACATCTTGAAACATGGAAATGAAAATAAAAAGGAAAATTCAAGCATTCAAAAATGAATTTCTGTTTTTTTTTTGTATATGACGTAGATGTATTTTATTACCTACTAATTTAATGTAATCATTTACATACTTACACCTATACAGGCGGCCTCGTCAATAAATTAAAGACTATATTAATATTTTCTTGACTGTATTTTCACTGATTTACAATTTAATACATAATCGACAAACCGTACAATCTCCATCTTCTGATCTTCTTCTCCTTCCCCTAACGCATCATTGACAAGTGACAGTACCAACACTTCCTTCCGGAGCGCCAAATTTTAAAATTTACAATTAAACTCACATACATTATACATAGATATTTTATTATTAAAATATTATACGTATTTCCTATATGAAATTTATTTTATAAACTTATTGTTAGAAATTGTGTATTTGTACTATTCCATCTTCTTTATTTTCTTGTATGTGAAGTATTTAATTACTAAGTTAATATCTCTTTTAATATAGTCGTTTGTTAAACGTATAGATATCTTTATAGCTATTGAAGTATTCCAAGTATTTTATGTATCACTGCGTATTTTATGATATGACGAAGAATTTATAGGTCTTATGACCATGAATAAACAGTAAAATGAACACTTAGTATCTACTCAATATGCAAATAATCTGATTAATTACTGAAGTTTTATTACCTAAGTACCTGCAATATTATGAAATTTGATAAAAAAAATTGATAAAAATGTGTAAAAATATCATGCGATCGAAAAAAAAAACGGCGTCAAAGACGGCTGGGAAATGACAATCGATTTTGGCGAAGTCAAGCCCTAGACGGCATTTCCTTGGCCCGTATTCTTCTGTTTTTAATGGCGTTTACTGAGAATTGACCCTAAGAAGGTTGTAATTTTTTTTATATTTAGTAAAATTGATTTTTAAATGGTGTCTAGTTTAAAATTCGAGAATTTTTTTATTGGAAATAAATTTGTATATCTGGAAACGTTCAATCCTTTTTTAATCTTTCTATAAGTATTAATTTTAATATGTATTAATTTTTGACAAGTTTTATGTCAATTTTTAGTAAAATGACGTCTATAGATTGACCTCGCCAAAATTATCATCAATTGTCCCCAGCCGTCTTTGACGCCGTTTCTTTCAATCATACATGATGAATTATTCTGTTACGGTACTGTTAATCAAATGTATTTTCCGCTAAACAGCTTGCTCAGCTCTTAACGTCTGTTATTACATTATTACAATTCTCAAACTCACCCCTGCGTGTCAATAACGCGATCAAATTGTCTGAGCACAATGATAGATTGGCCAATCGAAACGTTTACGTGGGCAATGGGGCGAACTAAACTTAATCGCGCTCTTGTCGGATACAATATGTGTTTTGGTTTCATTGTTTCTCTGTCGTGTAGAAACTATAGAAAGTCGCCCGTTAAGCATTTTACTGCTCTTTTTTTTTAATTTTATTTGGTCTGGTGAGTTTGTGGCCTGTCTGGCGTCAATGTTGCGGCAAAGGTTACATTTTGTTTCGATATTTATTACATAAATGTGTCTAAAGCCCTGTCTACACGTAAGGTTTTACCTCACGTCTTACCTGTTCAGTCAAGAAGTATCAAATAAACTTGCACTGAATAAGATAGAAGACCGTCTAGAGAACTGAGAGGACTTCTCATCTGCTGATGATGCTAACATGGTTAGCGAAACGCGCGTCCAATGTTTAAAAGTAAAGTGTTTTGGTGTATTGTGGTGAATTAGTGTTTCATTTAGCTGTTATAATACCAACCAAAGGTTCCAATCCCCAACTGTTAGTATACAATATTAAGTTAGTATCGGTAAATTTACAAAAAATTAGATAGATAATAATTTATGTCTTCCAAATTGTTAAAATGGAATAACATAATAATATAAAATAATATAATAATAAATAAATAGAAACAAATGCACATAAATAAGAAAGGCAAACGAGAACAATAATTGACAACAAAAAATATAAAATATATGTTTCAAAAATTATTGGATAAGTCAAAAATAAGTAGTCTTTCTAATTACATATGTTCCAATATTGTTTTTTTGCTTGTTATATAGTGTTAGTTTTAATCTGAGAACGATCGTACGCTGCATAAGTAACTATTTTTGAAGCCTCTACTGTGTTTTCTGGCACAATGTTTGTCCAGATTTATACACTTTGCATAAATCCAAGAAAAATGATATTTAATCAATGCCTAGAAGGGGAGGGGGCAACTTTTTGTTTGAGTGCAAATCATCGCAAAGACTACAACCATTCGTGCCATGAACTTTGATACTACTGATATCGGAGATGGAGAACTGACCTCTGTCAAACTGTCTCAGATACTGGCTTTTGTAAAAGCCCTGAGACTGTATGATGACTGAGACTGTATGATGAAAAACATAAAAACCTGTTAATCAGTGTAACGCGTACAAGAGTTGCAGGCATCAGTCACAATACAGCAACGGTCTATGTCTTCAAAACTTTCAAGCAAAAGCATTCTCTTTGAAATCAGAGATTTATTTTTTTATTTGAAACCACTGGTCCGTATACAGATAAGTATTCAAGCGTTTCTCGAGGTGGGCTATTTGCGAATTCCATAGACAATTCGTCCGCGAACAACCCAATGTCAATTCTATTTTAAGAAATTGGTCGCGGTCGTAGCCTCAATTCGACGACAATGAACAATGCCGCCGACTATTCGAAAGGATTTCAAAAGAAGATCCTCCATTGGTCGAACAATGCTAATTCCCAGCCATTTTAACAGCGTCGTCGCTTAGGTGAATTGACGACAATACAACAGAATTGGCAGAATGATGACGAATCAGAAAATCGATAGACTAGACTTGTACACGTATCAAAATGTTGTTCCTCGACAAAAACACGAAATATTAATTTAAAATTATTTTTTAGATTAGATTTTTGGCTATCTGCCGGATCGGGGGCCCGTTCCAGTCCTCTCCTTTTCAAAAAGTCCAGCAACTTGGAGACTGAACCTTCCATTTAGCTCTTTGTCATTAGCTTATCATTGCCTAGCATAAAGAACCGCACATTTGTCAGGCTGTCGCACAGATAAAAGTGTTCTGGCGCTTCTTCTTCACATTGACAAAATCTGCACATGGCTTAGTTCCTCAATCCAATCAGCTTTAGATGCTTATTAAGCTTATAATGCCTTGTTAGTAGAACCTACTACACTGACAAGAGGAGGTGCAAAATCTGTGACGTTAGTTTTTCCCAGAAAATGTCCGAAGTTCGGATGCGCCTTTATTTTTAGCTCGGCGAAGGACAGCAATGCTGTTTGCCCGATGCATGAAAGCTTTTGTTTTATTCTTTCCTCTTTTTGTTTTTTTTTAAGAAAAACTTCTTTTTTTTTGCAAAATTTTGCAAACCGCCTTTCCCAATTGAAATTTTATAATGGGACTTTATGCAAAGTGGAAAACATTGTGTCAGGTAATGAAATTCAGGCTTCAAAAATAATTGCTTGTGCAGCGTACCTACGCTTGTTCCCACATTAAAGTCATGATAAATAATGGAAGAATTTTTCACTACTATGTATATGTATCCCTGTTGTTTCCTTCTTTCTTGAGTTACATCACACAAACCCCTCGTCACTGAGTTCTCAATAACTGCGCTAGCAAAAAACTAAAATACTTGAATATTATAACAGCCACGATTTCAATATTATTCTAATGCGATCAGCACTAGTAACGAGTGTCTGGACGGTTATATACAGAGCCGAAAGCTTTTGACTTCTGCCGTATTGAGCGCTGGGGTCAGAATTTTTAAAATCAACTGAAATGCACCAAGCCTATACATATACTAGTCAAAAATAATTAGGACAAAATAAAAACAATATTGTAGATAAAAGTAACTAAAATAAATAACAATATTTACTTATTTATCGCTTTAAATCCGGGACGCCTCTGTATACCGGAATAAATTATAGCTGTTTAAAGGTTTAAATTAGATTATAAACCCAAATTATATTTATTAATTGCCAAATTGCTCTTGCTGAGTAATAATATAATGAATGCCCGCTCAGTTTGTAATTTAATCGTATGCCACTGATACCAGTGACAGAGTTACAGAAAAAATATTAAAGAAATAATAACATATGAAGTAAAAAAATATTATTTAAGAAAAATCTTATAATAAGTCTAGGTATAATCTTCTTTATGGTTCAACATGAACAAAACCAGCAAATTATTTTATGTAATTTGCCTTGTATTTTAACATTTAGAAAAAAACGAAGGTTACTGATCAACCGGTAGTCAAGTCAGCCATATTGTAACCCCTTTGCGATCTCGTCTAGTTTGTTGATGTATTCTATCCCGAGTCGTTTAATTCAAAGCTTTTTACAATATTTGGTGCATG